AAAATAAAAAAGAAATATCCGACTTTAAATACGTAATCTACCATAATTGAAATTCTACACTTATGTATATTTTTTATAAACAAATTGTAAAACTCAGGAGAGTCTTAATTTAAGCGATGGGGAAGTTATGTAGTCAAAGTTCTTGTTCTCCATTTCTTTCTTGCTTGCATTTAAAAGTGCAAAGATTAAAAGCTTCCATAAAATAATTCTAAAGCTCGCTCGACGATTCAAAAAAGCATTCGTGCACAGAATGAACCAAGATGTGAACAAGACAAGATCATTAAAGTAAAATAAAAACTATTATACGAATTCAAATAAAAAGGACATTGTTTATATTGAATTAAATGTTAACATAAAACGTTAACAAAACTCGTATACGCGCTAGATGGCCGGGATAGAAACCTGGATACTACACTACACCTGGATACCGCTCATACGCGCTAGCGCCAGGATTGGGAGTTTGTATGCAGACTGCCGCCTCCGCTACACCGGGACACCACGTATACGCGCTGCCAGTGCCAGGATCGGGAGTGCCTGTGCTTGTCGCCTACGGGAGTCAAGTAGGCGTACGCCAGACTTGCCGTGTTGACTTGAATGACCCAACTCGACTACACTACCCGGGGTTTGTAAAGGAACCGTCCAGCAACAGATCCTTTCCTCACTTGTTCTTCGCGGTCTCCTTGCGTTTGACTGTCGGACTCTCCAAAGGCGGTCCTTCAACTAAAATAAACCGAATCCCTTTTAGAAACGCTCTAGCACTTGAATGGCAGACTTTCCCCAGGCGGTCTTCCAACTCTAAAAGCTTCCTAAAAGGACTCGTCTAGATCCGCTCCAATGGGCCTCTTTTTATACTGACTGGAGCGCCCGTTAATCCTCCTGGATGCTGCTCCTGCCGTTAATCCTGCTTCCAGAATCACGTTACTTTCCCGTTGGCGGGTCGCCGTCCGCGCCCCCTCGTGTCTCCCGGCCACAGATCTTTGCTTTGGATGCTGCTCCTGCCGTTAATCCTGCTTCCAGAATCACGTTACTTTCCCGTTGGCGGGTCGCCGTCCGCGCCCCCTCGTGTCTCCCGGCCACAGATCTTTGCTGCTGCTATGTGGTGCACCGATGGACTTCCAGGGCCCGCTGCACTCCGCGTCACACCCCCTCTTTTCTCATTGCTCCACCGCTGCTTTTATTATTACAAACTTCGACTATTGCTGCCCCATCTTGCGGTTAGATGCATAAATAATAAGTAGCCCTTCATAGCCAAAGCTTCTGCATCTCTGCCCACAAATTTTTAGCTGAATTATTCTAGTGGAGTGGTCGGCACGGCCCTATCCCGAGGGCATAGGAAATTTCTCTGCCCGAGCTCTGCCTCACACACACAGTATAAATGTGTGAAACGTTATGCTCACCGCCTACTTTTTGCTATTCGTTACTAACACTAATGCGTTAAGATCATATCAATGTATTGGGGTGCCGACCACTGTTCTAGTGTGATTTATTTTCCATTCCAGTAGCATAGGTGATGCCACTATTTGCTGTTATTCAGATTTGCGTCGTTTAAATAATATGAAATAATAAATTAAATTGAAAAAATCGACAATATATATTAATAATATAAATTTATTTAATATAATTGATATAAATTGATTTTTAAAGGTTAGCTGCAGAATTGTCCGTTTAATCGCCTGATAATTGTAATTTTAATCAAATATCAGTTTATTCAATATATAAATTATTATTTAATAATAAATTATTAGTTATTTATAAAATTTTAAAGAGACCAGCGATTCCCAAAACTCTATCCCACATAACCAGAAATTGCTCTGCTCGGCCTCCTGCTGAACGGCAAAAATTTTCGTATTCGCGTCCTAAAACGCAAGTCGTACATGAGGGTGTATTTGAGTTGGCCCAATGTATGTATTAGACTTACTATATATTTTATTTATTTATTTCGCCAACGGACAAATCCTTACATGGCTACATAATAACAACTTACACCTAATAAATAAAACTACAAAATTAACAAAAACTTAATAAATGCCGTATTACCTTGCGTTTTAACACACCCTTATCAGAGCCCCACTCAATTCGGAGGCTAGGCGGCAAAGAATTAAAATAAGAAAGAGCCCGCTCTATCGGCTCATTTAAAAGATAATTGGCCCTATGACACTTGACCCGAAAGGGGGCAAAGGTACGAAGATCCCTTTGAGGAACATTAAAATTAACGAGTCCCAACAAAAAAGGACAATCAATGTTATCAACGAATAAATTATTCAAAAAAGTTAACGCTGCCAGTTTACGCCGATCCTCCAACGTGCAAACGTTCAAAAGAAGGCAACGGCTCTGGTATGAAGGAACAGGATCCTGAAACCTTAGAGGCAGAAGTGCAAATTTTAAAAATTTTTTCTGGAGTCGCTCAATTCGGTTGGAACGAACTTTACACTCCGGATTCCAAATGATTGAGGCGTATTCCAGCCTCGACCGAATGAATGCAGCATAGACGCTGAGGCTCGTGTATGGACTTTTGAACTGGTTCACGTGCCTCTTAACAAAGCCCAGCATAGCATACGCTTTAGGTAAAATATAGTCTAAGTGACCAGAAAATTTAAATTTGCTGTCGAATAAGACACCAAGGTCTAACACCTCTTCTTTAGCTGCCAAATTATAATTATTGATGGAATAACCCGTACAGATTTCAAGAGACCGCCTACAGTAACGGGTAAACATACACTTAGATAAGTTTAATGGAAGAAGATTGCGGGAGCACCATGAGTAAACTCTAGATATATCCTCCTGTAACAAGTAACTGTCACTAATGCAGCTAATCTCTTTATAGATTTTAAGGTCATCCGCATACATTAAAAAGTGCGAATGACGAAAGCATGACGAGATGTCATTAATGAAAATGATAAATAGAAGAGGTCCAAGAGAGCTGCCTTGTGGAAGACCAGAGGAGGTGACAAATGGACTTGAGATAGCATCTCCAACAGTAACGTGGCAAGGTCGGTCAGCCAGATAAGACTCGAACCAACTTAATAGGCAGGAATGAATACCTAATTTATATAATTTGGCCAGATGGGCAGCATGACACACTTTGTCGAAGGCTTTGGAGAAGTCGGTGTAAATGGCATCAACCTGAAATCGGTTTCCAAAAGCTTCAAAGCAGTGCTTAGAAAAGACAGCTAAATTAGTGGTAGTGGACCTCCCAGGCAGAAAACCATGCTGGTTGGGGGATATGAAATTGCGAGCCAGAAAAGTCAATTTTTTAGTTACAATCCGCTCCAGTATCTTAGCGACATTGCAAATTTTGGCTATAGGTCGATAATTGGTAACATCACACCTACTGCCACCTTTGTGAATAGGCGTTGTAGAAGTCATCTTCCACCGGTGGGGGAATCTACCAGATGAGAGCGAAAAGGAGAACAGCAGCTGAAGGGGAGTAGAAAGAGAAGCGATACTCCTCTTAAGAAAGAATGGGGAGATACCGTCCACGTCAGGTGTGAGCGACTCGGTCAAATGTCCAGTGGCTTCAACTAGGTCACCGTCCAAAATGTCCATGTTACTCACATTAAGAAAAGGCTCAATGCTAAGAAGAGTTTCATGATCACTCCAAGGAACCTTCAGCTCCAAGTTAGAGGCAAAGTATTTTGCAAAAAGATCAGAAACGCCCTGATCCGAGTCGGCTGCTTAATTACCATAACATATGGATGAAGGTATGTCCGATTTTGACTTTTTGCTGTTAACCAACCGCCAAAAAGCTTTAGGATTGGATCGAAGGCTAGCTTCGACATCGGATATATACTGATTGTAGAGGAACTTATTAAGGAAGTCAAATTCCCGCTTAAATTGCCGGTACAGCTCTCCTGCTCGAGTCTCACCTGTCATTATAAATCGTTTATAGTGCTTATCCCTTCTATTCTTTAAGTTTTTTAAACCTTTTGTATACCAGGGAAGCCTATAGGATCTTCGTACCCTCACAGGGGCATAAGTATCAATAATATTAAAAAGGGCAACCAAGAACTTAGTATAACAATCATCGATTGAGCCATCCGAAAAAAGGGAAACCCAATCAAAGGCTGAAATAGAGGCGTTAATAAGTGACAAGTTAGTATCATTCAGATGATAATATGGAATTGGAGAAGCAGAAGGCAGAAAACTATAAAACTCAATATTAATTACCAGCGGCTTGTGGTGCATATCACAAGGACTTAATGGTACATTGCATAATTCTACTTTACTATTAACCAAATTATTTAAAAATATAAGATCAAGAATTTTGGATAAATCATTAAAAATATTATTTACTTGGGAGAGGCCCAGACTAAAAATATCATCTAAAACTACAATTTCATGACTCTGGTGAACGTTGCTAGGTAGCATGCAAGGAGAATCCGGGTCCCAAGACCAGACAATGGAGCTCAGGTTGAAATCGCCAGCTACCATCAAAGCGGTAGGGTCCGACGTTCTAGCACAGACACTACTGATGTTTTCCATATGCGCATGATAGATACTAAATGCGCTGTTCGGAGGGATGTATGATGCAATGATGACGAACGGGCCATGGACGCCCTGGATTGAAACCGCAAGCTGATCCAGTAAAGGGTCGGCCACCGGAAGGCGCAGTGGTGTAGCCTGAAGAGATCGACGGATAGCGATGATCACACCTCCACCTCGCTCACACTGGGTACTGAATGCATCTCGGTCCTTTCGAAATACATGGTACAAATTAGGCTCGAAGAACTCAGAAGAGCTGAATTTGTCATTAAGCCACGTTTCCACAAGGAAATTAAGAAAAAGAAAATTTATATTTAAAAAAAAAATAAAAAAAAAGGTTCTGGAACGATTGAATTGAAAAAGTTGATAATAAAATTGGTTGGTTAAAATTTAATCTTACCTGATTTTAACCGGAGCCGCTTTCATCTAAATCAGTTCTACTAAATAGTTCTGTGGCACCCTTCTTAAGATCCATATAATTAGATATGCATATATAGAGCAAAAACAAATGTGCCACATTTACAGTGCTTTATATAAGAAGTTGATCCTTCTCTGATATTTTATTTAGAGTCGATTGTTTACATATGTGGTCTACTCCAACACCAATAAATTAATAATATATTTTTATCTTCTAATAATAAAGTAAACACTTTATAATTCCAAGTACATAATTTTTGTAGCAGATAAAGCTCCACAAAAACTTAAAAAGCTAGCAGTGCAAATAACAGACGTGGTAGTTCCAGATGATGTTATTATGGTACCCATACATAACGATAAAATAAATTGGGCCAGAAAAACCATACTACTTATAATAGCTATGTCAGTGCCCAATCCTCGCACACTAGTTGCACTCCTTGTCTCACCATTTTCATTTAAGTCAAACTGAAAAATAAAATCGTTATTAAAAAATTCATTTATTTTAAATAAAGGCTGTGAGCTCAGGAAAATTTTTACATATTCTATTAATCGTATTGTCAATATTTATAAATGTTTAAATTACTTTAGTCCAGGATCTTTTACAACATTTATGCCAATAAAAAATAAATAAATAAAAATAACAAGGACCAAGCTTTTTATTTTAGTCATATAATAGTTGTAAACGGGGCTACATTTTTGTATCAGTTTGGCCCCTATTTGAGTCTTAAACAAAGATTCGGTTTGTCATTTCGGCTTCTAAGAACTGCTGCAACGGGTCTAAAAGTAATTGACTAGAATTATGTTTTATGTAAGAGGTTACTTTTTTCATATCATACCATGCTTGAGGATTCAATCGAAACAATTAGTAATACTTAGTACTAATTACTTAGTACTTAGTAATTAATAGAAGTACTACTAGTACTTCAACAAGTTAATGATATTATACAATTTTATTTAAATTTAATGGCTGTTACATTTGATTAACTGTCATAAAAAAATATACATATTGCCTAAAAATATCTTATAACACTTTGAATACATTTTCATACTCTTGAAATGAGCTGAGAAAACATTCAAGTTCTTGAACACATCTTCTTGGTATAAAAGGTTCTCATTCTAACATCACAGGTCTAACATCAAACCGCTAAATATTACAAAAGTTGTGTTCAACGCTGTGCAAACAAAGACTCAAAAGCACTTCCGATTCGTGTCCAAATATTTGGGCAATGCTAAGAAAAACTATTACACGTACCAGCTGAAAAGCAGCAAAGGCCTACAAGTGGAAGTAAAATGAATCAAACCCGATGTTACTGCCGCGGAAATAAAAACCGCCCTTAAAGAAAAGGGCTTCGCCGCCAAGAAAGTTATCTGGAATCTGGAATAGAAAATCCAATTCAGCTTAACTCACAAAGCGCTCAACAGGCTCCAGAGCAGCCACATAGCAATTCTTGAAAACGTCCATGAAACATTTGTTCAAAACCAGAACATAGTAATAAAGTTGCTCGTAGCACAACAGTCTTAACAATCTATGCAAACTCTACGAATATCAATGTGGAACAAGAAAGGAAAGCTAACTTCGGGCGGAGCCGAAGTTTATATACCCTTGCAGTTAAAACCGGATATGTATCGCAAACATCGGATATAGTTGGCAAATCCTTATGGGAATATGAATATACAATCCAACTTATTACAATACAAAATCTAAAAAAAATCCCAAACTTCTATCTTCAAACATACCAAAGTTGGTATTTCTACCAAAAACCATTTCCGATTGTTCAGTTATTTGGCAGCTATAAGATATAGTCGGTCGATCGGTTTGAAATTTGTTAGGTCGGATTAACTGACAAAAAATATAGTCTGTACCAAGTTCCAGCTTTCTATCTTCAAAAATACGAAAGTTGGGTCATTTCCGATCGTTCAGTTATATGGCAGCTATAGGATATAGTCGGCCTCTAACTCTAAAAACACCAAAGTTATACCATTTCCGATCAATCAGTTATATGGCAGCTATAGGATAAAGTCGGCCGATCCAGGCCGTTCCGACTTACATACTGCGTGCAAAAGAAAGAAGGGAGTGTGCAAAGTTTCAAGTCGATAGCTTTAAAACTGAGAGACTAGTTCGATAGAAACAGACAGACAGATGGACTGACGGACATGCTCATATCAACTCCGGAGGTGATCCTGATCAAGAATATATATACTTTATAGGGTCGGAGATGTCTCCTTCACTGCGTTGCACACTTTTGACCAAAATTATAATACCCTCTGCAAGGGTATAAAAAAGGACCCAGTTGTGACCTACTGGCGCCAAAGATGTTGATCGAACTTTCGAAATGCGCTATACATCTCTATTATGTAAACTATTTAATGATATCATCATTAAACACGACATTACCACAATTTCGAGCCTGTCCTCCAACTTCATCCGTAAGGGGCAAGGCACAGCTTAATCCGTCCTGCTCAAAGCACTCCATTGCGAGCAGTGATCAGCTCCATAGTTCTGGACCGGGGACAGTTGTATTGAACATATATATGTATGAATGCGCTTATGCACGGAACAGTGCACTTGAAAGTGGAACTTATGTATATAAATTTGTATATGTTTTTGAGGGTCTATTTTGTTTTTATTTTTGCCGGGGTCACCAATGATTAGTCATTGAGGTTTTTTAATGATAATCAGCTCCAAAATAAAAGTCAAATAATTTCACATTAAAAGTTTTTTATTCTGCAAGCAGATGAAACTGCCTGCGAGCCCGCAGATTTATCCGGATTACGTCGAAGAAGGCGGCCTGATCTACTGCCACGTCCCGCATAGAGCCGCAAGCGAAGAAGGGGCATCTTGGAAATTGTGCGAGACGACGTATACGAGGTAACAGAACCTCATAGAAAATCACGACGCACCAACGGCAGGACACCTTAGCGTGAGGAAGACAATCGCCAAAGTGGCCGCCAGATAATTCTGGCCAGGATTGCAGAGAGACATTCGGAAATATGTCAGGAGGTGCCAGACGCGCCTGAAGTACAAGCCGAGCCAGATGCAAGCGCAGGAAAGATGTTGACACAGGTCCCGGAAGACCCATGGGCAACGGTATGCGCGGACCTTGTAGGAAACATGGAAACACAATGTTCTTGGTCATGATTGATCGGTTTTCGAAGTGGACGGAAGTGGCCACTACGAAAGGCAACGACCGAAGCGCTACAAAGAGAGATCAAGGGAAGAATTGTCGCTCGGTATGGAGTGCCAAAGGTAATGTTGAATACCAACGGCGGGCAGTTCATCAGCCGAAGCTTCAAGAAGTTCCTCGGGGAGCTCGGTGTGCGTCACCAGTTCACCGCACCGTACCCGCCGCAGGAGAATGCCACGGAAAGAGTTAATAGGACGGTCAATTCGATGATCGCCTAGTTCGCAGGGAAGGATTAAAGGACATGGGACGAGCACTGGCCAGAGCTAATGCTAGCAGTAAACTCGGCAGTCTCGGCGAAACTAGCGCCGATATGACGGGCCCTACACGGTCATGGATTTTGTGTCGCCGGGGATTACCCTCTTACGTCACGCTGCCACAAAGAAGGAAAAGAGGGCGCATATAAGCGAACTGAAGGGACAGGAGGCGGAGGCCGCAGTGAGGGCATAGAGAGGAAAAGATCATCAAATGCTCACAATTAAATAAATATACATATATATATATAATACCACCATTGCATCAAGAGCCAGAAGATACACGAGCTGAACGCAATGACGAGAGAAGATTAGAACAACGACAATAACGCCGTTTCACAGTCAATAGATGCAGAACAAATGACCAACAACGACAACAGGTACATCGAGCATTTACATCTGATTCATTCCTGCGTCTAGCATTCTAGTATGAGCCTGATATTAAGTATTATGCTCACTCAAAAGTTGTAATTGGTGCAATGAACAAGGAATGTCTGCATTGTAATTCTCTAAATGATCAGTCAATCCCGAAGAGGGGGGAAGTGGATAGGGATCCTTTGTGAGCCAGCCGCGTCAAATTATTGCAAGCGGGAAGCAGAAAAACAGTTCGTTACAGTTTATCGAGATTATTTTATCTCTCACAAATAACAAAAAAAGAAAACGAATTGGTGGCTGCTATATATTAAATGAGACACGACCCCGACGTGAGTTCACACCGCCTTGGTTATTTTGGACCCCGCACTCCATATAGGACTGCTTCCTCATTGCCTCTGTTGCCGATGTAAACATTCAGCGGTGGTTATGCCAGATTATGCCGGTGGCCAGATTTCTGCGCCCTTTTTAGGACAACGATTGACAGCCATCCTCATTTGACCAAGGGTTTATGAGGTGGCTCATTTCATGTCTGCGGGAGTCAGCCTTGGACACTGTAAGTGCGCCGGAAATTACTGACGCTAACTATGATGTTGCTCTTGATCTTTTGCACACCCGTTTCAGTAATCGAAGTTGATATCGACGTCGTCAATCCGCTTAATGTGTCAACATAAACTTAATTCTCTTCGTCTTAAGCGAACGGTCGACGATGTTTACCTACTTGAGAAACAAATTCTTTTGATAAACTTGAGTTTTAACATAAACCGTACGCTTCGCGTGTGCTACTGTATATTTGGAGGCGAATTAATAATTTGTTACAATTCAATTTCAAGCATAGCTCAGCTTTACTTCCACCTCTTGTTTTGTTTTTTTCTTTCGTCTGGAATAGAGGTCTTATCTTTTTTCTGCAATTTTCCTTTGCTCTCTCCAAAGCTCCCGCTTCGGCTCCTATTTGGCACAGTGGTTTTTTAACTTATATATATATATTTTTTTATATTCTTAATTTTTAAAATGGAATTTAAGCTCGTCTGTTCAATGAAGTCTTGTAACAAGACGATTTCTCATCCCAGCCTACAATCCACTGCTGGCTATGTGAAAACGTCGTGCACGCCAAGTGTGTTGGGTTCACTGCCTCAGTTTCGGATGCCATTTCCCGTAGATCTAGTTTTCATTATTGTTGTGATAATTGTCGTGCTGTCCAAGACAAAATGAGGTCGTTCATGAGACAGACTAAAAATGGATTTAAAGAGTTGATCACTGGTTTTCGTAAACTCAATGTCCTTGTGTTGTCCTTGTCCTTTCGTAAACTCAATCCTCAGATTTCGCCTAGCGCGTGATCCGGCGAAGTTGCAGCGTTGGATACCTTAGTTTATTGTCAGCCCTTGGATTTAGAAAAAATGGTTTTTCGGGACTATTTTGCTCTTAAAAATTTCTAAACGCGTAATTATAAACGGATTTTAAAATTTCAAATGTTTTTTAATAAATTAATATTGTAGCTTTTATAAAACCCTAGCAGGATTGCACTGATTTGTTTTGGGAAATGCGTTATAACCAGGGACCGTAATTATTATAATTATACCCTTGCAGAGGGTATTAAATTTTGTCCAAAAGTGTGCAACGCAGTTGTTACCTTTACTACTTACTCCGACCCTCTAAA